AGGGTTTTTATTGATTTCAGAGAGAAAGGGAGAGGGAGAGAGCAATAGAAACATCAATGATGAGAGAGAATCACTGATCAGCTGCCTCCTGCAAGCAAGGCACTGGGGGTCGAGCCCACAACCAGGCATGTGACCTTGACTAGAATTAAACCTGGAACCTTTCAGTCCACAGGCCAACGCTCTATCCACTGAGCGAAACCGGTTTCGGCTCTCTCGGTTTCTTGATGAGTCTAACAGTTTATTACTTTTGTTTATCCTTTCAAAGAACCAGCTCTTGGTTATATATTTTTTTTCAGTCTCTCTGTTGTTTATTTCTGCTCTAATCTCTATTATTTCCTTCCTCCTACTTACTCTGAGATTTTTCTTGTTCTCTTACTAGTTCTTCAAGTTATAGGGTTAAATAGTTTATTGCTGATTTTTCTTGTGGGTTTTTTTTTTTGCTTTTTGTATTTTTTGGTATGTCTGTAGAGCCAAGAACTCCCCTCTCAGGATTTCTTTTATTGTATCCCAGAGATTTGGGGTTGTTAAGTGTTCATTTTCATTGGTTTCCAGAAAGTTTTTCATTTCTTTCTTGATCTCACCGGTAACCATTCATTGTTAAATAACAAGCTATTTAGCCCCCACATGTTTGAATGTTTTTGGGTGTTGTTACTGTAGTTGATTTCTAATTTTATTCCACTGTGATCTGAGAAGAAACTGAATATGATTTCAATCTTCTTGAACTTGTAGAGACTTGTTTTGTGTCCTAACATGTGGTCTATCTTTGTGAATGATCCATATGCACTTGAGAAGAATGCATATTCTGCTGCGTTGGGGTGAAATGTTCTATAGATGTCAATTAAATCTATCTGATCCAGTGTATCCTTTAGAGTCTCTGTTTCCTCATTAAGATTTTGTCTGGAAAATCTATCCAGTGAAATTGGCAGGGTGCTAAAGTCCCTTACTATGACTGTATTGTTGTCTTTCTGTTAAAGTCCTCAAGAAGTTTTTTTATACATTTAGGTGCTCCTATATTCGGTGCATATATGTTTACCAGGGTTATATCCTCTTATTGTATCAATCCCTTTAGTATTATGTAGTGACCTTTGTTGTCTCTGGTGATGGCCTTCATTTTAAAGTCTATTCTGTTATATATGAGTATTGCTACTCCAGCTTTTTTTCTTTTCCATTTGTATGGAAAATTTTTTCCCATCTCTTCACTCTCATCTTATGTGTGTCTTTTGTTTTGAGGTGGGTCATGTTTTTGCATCCTTTCAGCTACCCTATGTCTTCTGATTGGAGCATTTAATTCATTTACATATAGGATTATTATTGATAGGGACTTACTTATAGCCATTTTAATTCTGTATGCCTAGTTTTCTCTCTCTGTTTCTTCTCATTACAGCAATCCCTTTAACATTTCTTGTAATGCTGGTGAATTGTGCACTTTCTTTTAATTGAATCTTTATTGTTCAGATTATTACAGTTGTTCCTCTTTTTTCTCTCCATAGATACCATCCACCCAGTTCCCACCCCACCTCATGCCTTCAACCCCCACATTGTCCTCGTCCATAGGCGTTCGACTTTTGTCCAGTCTCTTCCCGCACCCTCCACATCCCCTTTCCCCCCGAAAAAGGTCAGTCCACTCCCTTTCTATGCCCCTGATTCTATTATAATCACCAGTTTATTCTGTTCATCAGATTATTTATTCACTTGATTTTTAGATTCACTTGTTGATAGATGTGTATTTGTTGTTCATAATTTGTATCTTTACCTTTTTCTTCTTTTTTCT